TTCCGTCCAAAAAATAACAGTTTTTTACCTTGGGGGGTTTTTGCGAGGAAAAGTTGTTGTGGGGAAAAAAGTGAGAGGAAAGGTTAGCTAGGGGGTAAGTTGCGTAAATAGTACATTTTGGGGGGTTTTTTGTAATTTTCCCAAATTTATAATTCAATAAGGACTAACTTTGTAAAAAGAATAATTAATAATTTTAGGGGAATGTTATCAAAACCCATCAATAGCATTAAGGGCAGCCAAAATGTCACAAAACCTTCAAAAAAAATAACAGAATGATTCTCTCTACAAAAACAATTTGTAAGATAATCTTCAATGACTCATCCCCTCCTTATTTGTAGTCATATAATTTTTTCAATCATCATCATCATCATAGCCTTTTCCCAATTAATTGGGGTCAGTTACACGAATCTTGATGTGTCATTCTGCTCTATTTAAGGCCATACCCTCAATGAGGCCATAAGTACCTATATCTTTTCGGACTACTTCCAGCCACATCCTTTTGGGCCTACCCCTTGCCCTTTCAATCCTTCCACTTGAGCTAACTCGCACTTCCTAACAGGTGTTGTACTGGATCGACGCCACATATAGCCAGCCCACTTAAATCTACTCTCTCTCATCTTATTGCCTATTAGTGCCACACCTAAACTTTCCTGAATGGATTTATTTTGGAGTCTATCTCTTCTTGTCTTGCCACTCATCCATCTCAGCATCCTCATCTCCACTAGTATATTGTTTTTTGTCCGCCAACATTCCCCCTATAAAGTAAAACTGGTCTCATAGTTGTCTTATAGAACTTACCCTTCAACTTCATTGGTATGCGGTGATCACATAAAATTCCAGTTGCACATTCCCACTTCGCCCACCCAGCTCTAATTCTATGTGCAACATCTTCCTCAATCTCTCTATTTTCCTGGATTATCGACCCAAGGTATCAAAAGTGCGGTCTTTTTTGTATTCCTAGCCATCAATCTTAACTACTTCCTCGTCTCCATTCCTAGTACTACTAAACTTGCATTCCATATACTATGTCTTAGTCCAGCTAATTTTAAAACATTTGGATTCTAGAGCATCCCTTCAAAGTTCTAAGTTTGTGTTGATGACGTTTCAGATCTCATCGATCACAACATGCACAACAGTACCTCATCCTATAGGTGCCTAGTTAAGTTGTCTATAATTAAGGCAAAGAGGTAAGAGCTCAATGCTGACCCTTGATGTAGGCTTATTGTCACTGAAACTCACTCGCCTATCCACTAGTTGTTCGCACACTAGTTAGTGCTCTATCATATATCTCTCACTAAGTTGATGTAGTGTTTAGAGACTCCTTTCTTTTCCAATACCCTCCAAATCAAATCTCGAAGTACTCTATCATAAGCTTCCTCTTAATCAATAATGACCATGTGGAGGTCTTTTCCCTTCGCCCTAAACTTCTCAATCAATTGCCTAAGTAGGAAAACAACTTCAGTTGTTGACCTTCCTAGCATAAAACCAAATTGGTTTTCAGATACACTCGTTTCATGTCTTAGTCGTACTCAATCACTCTCTCCCAAAGCTTAGGAGTATGGCTCATAAGCTTAATCCCTCGATAGTTCACACAATTATGTATGTCTCCTTTGTTCTTGTAAAGAGGTATCACAATACTTTTCCTCCATTTGTCTGGCATTTTCTTTGTTTTCAGCACCTTGTTGAATAGCTTCGTCAGTCAGTCAATGATAATCTCCCCCATGCACTTCCAATATAATTTTTTCAATGGAACCCAAAAACAAAAATAATGAAAAAAGTAAAACTTGATTCATCTCAAGGAAAAGGCATGTACTATAGTAACATTCAAATGGAAATAAGTGTAGTTGTAGTAAAGACATTTTTTGTTTGTAAGTTTCCATTATAAATATAACCAAGCGTCATTTTTCAATCAGTGTCAAACCATAGGATGCCATTAAAGGAAGTTAAACCAAGAACAAGCACTCATTACAAAAAACTGTAGTTGCTGTAAAAGAGATGGTATTTAATGTCCAATGCAGTTGCTGCCAAAAAATTGTTTTTCTTCTTTTTTTTCCTTTGAAAACCTAACTAGTATTATATTATATCTGAGAATTGGATGTGTCTCCAAAAATTTGTCCCTACATGACATGGTATACAAAATTTAAATAAAGAAACTCAAAGTTTTTCAACAAGAATAAAGGGATTAAGCTATTTGTAAAAGTTTGGTGAGAAGAATCTAAATGTGGAGGTGGCCGAGATTGAAAGGTTGAGTTTGAAATCGCCTTCTTTTGCAATGCAGTCAGCAGTATGGTTTGCCTCTCTCCATTATGACACTTGCAAAGGTTGGCATAGTAAGAATATTTGGATGAACAGTTGGTCGAATCTACATGGTATGGAAGAGGACTTGGAAGCCCAAGCACTTGTTGCAATAAAATCTCATTGCTACACGAGCAAGCATTTGAAGTCCAAACATAAAAGATTATATAGAATATACTTCCCAAACATAAAAAGATTATATACAATATATTTCCATCGAACAAAAGAACATGTTTACTTCAACACAAATTAAATACAATTTTGGAAGGGCCAATAATCTAAGGCAAGAAGCTTATATCTGCATGCATGTTCATCTGCGCACATAGCTTATGCCTGAGTGGTATGTATTAATGTCCATCAGTATTTGTTTGAACTTATCAAGCTTAAAATGCGAGCCCAAGTTGACTTAACTTAGACCTCACCTAAGGCTGACTTCTTATACATACGAAGGCCTATTTTTCCTGCCTTGTTAACTCAGGCAAGTCTGTTATTCTACTTATTAAAGTACTATCCAAAAGAAATATAGTATGCTACTAGGGAGCCCAACCCCTGTCCCCCAAACCCCAACAAAACAAAAATACCCCTTCTCTTAAAGTTTTACACAAACTCCAAACTCTAAAAAAATAATAATAATTTAATAATAGATACAGTCGTTTTCCAGTCTAATTCCAAAGGCTCTCACACAGTCACTTCTGCCAGATTATGCCAAGACCCAAGTGTTCTATTAAGCTCTCAATTTTCTTGTTTTGCCTTTTTAAAATCCGATGCATAGGTTGGAGTTATAGTTGTTGGAAACGTCTGTGATTCCGAATCGTTTCTAGAGTCGAAATCGCGGAATCGCGTATATCAAAAGTTTCAGAATCTAGGAATCGTTGTCCATACGATTTGGATTTGAGAAAAAATGATTCTCACTATTTCGGAATCATGATTCAAAAAATTAGGAATTGTGTTTCCTATTTCCAAGAATCGATGTCCCTTCATGTTGGAATCGCGTTTCATTCCTATATGGAATCACACATGACCCCACTTGTTCCGGTGGTTGTTGGAATCGTGATTCCTAAACATAAGGAATCGTGATTCCTAAACTTTTAGAATCATTGTCCCCATCAACTTGGAATTCACATTCTCACCATTATAGAATCGTGATTCTCCCCATATTGGAATTGAGATTATCCCCTTACTAGAATTGCAAACCAATTCCCTCCGGTATATGAGAGAAGTAGTCAGAAAATATATAAATTTACCCATTACTACAAAATCGAATTTTGGTCTGCATATACTCAATCCAAGACTCCAAGTACTAATGTCAACCTTCATGATATCTTTGTGGACAATCTCATACAATAGACTCGGTCTACCGATAACCCTATTATGCCTACAAGGTCTGGAGCTAGTCTGTGGCATACAAGGAGTGAGAATAAGGGCAAACTCCCTTTATCTCCTTTCCTTGAATTATAAAATACATACAGACATAGTAATTCTTCTTTGTTAAACGTAATTTAGAGTCTTTTGACTTTTGAAAATTGAGTTATTCGGTTTTTAGTCAATTTCTCTGATATTTAATGATTAATTTAACCTAAAACACCGGAAAGACCACGTTGCTCATATCCTTATTTTCTTATTTTACTTAACGAAAAGCATTTTTATCCTCTTATTCAACTTGAAGATATGACGGTGCTGATCATATATTAAACATTATTACATTAGTAGTTTAGTATCCACACCATTTACCAAACATTATTAAATTTGAAGTAACATTTTTTTAGTATTATTTATTCTTGGTAAGAGTTCTTAAAAACGGAACATGGAATGAAGGATGGAAATTAGTATATAAGAAAATAAAAAATTTAACATATTACTTATATTTTAAATTTTAATTTTATTGCCATGTGAAACAACTTCAAATTCTCTCATGCACTCATAAATGTCACGCTCATTCATGATTGAGCACACATCGAAGGGTTTCTGCTCTCCCTATGTCCACATATTACTCATATTTTAAATTTTGATTTTATTGCCATGTGCAACAACTTCAAATTTTCTCATGCCCTCATACATGTCACGCTCACTCATGATTGAGCACACATCAAAGGGTTTTTGCTCTCCCTATGCTCACATTGCTTCCTGACAACATGGATTCGCAATTCCTTAATACTTTGAATCAACGTTTATCATAAGTAGAATTGCATTGTTTTGTAGCAAGGAATCATGTCGTCTGCGATATAGAAAATTGATTCCAAACAATATGGATTCACAATTCCAAAAAATTTGGAATCAACATTTCTCACAAGCAGAATCGCATTCTTGTGTAGTTAAGAATCATAAAGTCCTCGATATGGAATCTTGATTTCGGCAATCTAGGAATCGAGATTCCTAAACTAGGTGGAATTGGGTTCCGTAAAAAAAGGAAACATGATTCCTTTCTTTTAGAATCGACTTTCGCCCGGGGAAACGCCGAATCGAGATTCCAAAACGGAATCGCTACCCTCATAGGCGATTCGAGTAGCTATAGTTTGAGTTTTAAGTAAAAGAATATGATCCCAACATTTTCCTTTTAAATTTTTCTTAATGCAAAAAAGTTGAAACTCTTGCTAAGTCAATTCAGCAAGAGACCAAGTAGTACTCAGAGTCCAACGTATCCAGTGTAACTACGAAATTCAGAAAGGAGTTTAGAACATCAAATACTAAAGGTGCAACAAAAGTACCTGAAAGAGCTCAAAGTTCAACCTCTTTAGCATTAAATCCTGTGGAGCATCCTGTGAGAGTGCACTCCCTTTTATTTCCTCAGGAGCATTTCTGTGAAATTCTTCTTCAGGCACAAGTTCTATATCTGGATACTTTGACTTAAAGTCCTTGCAAGCTTTGATTGCCTTCACATAATGATTTCTCTCATATAACAAATTGTGAAGCTGCAAAGTCGTGAAGTCCACTGGAGCTTTTGCACTTTCAGTTTCCACTTTTACACGATCCTCCTCAAGAAGGATTGAGCGGTTTACCTACAAAAAACGACATTCAACTTCCGTAAATAAGTAAGCAATGATACAGTCCAGGAGTTGCCTCTGGTCTTCTTCATAAAAAAGAGAACCAATTCTCTCAGGAAAGAGAAAGGGGGGCAAACACGCACAAGCCTGCATGCGCAACACATATTCTCCCCACGATACATGCTTTCAACCACTCAAAGAAAATAAACAGCTGGGACATGTCATTGAAAGGAATGGATATCGTCGTAATTCACACATTATAAAAACATGCTGACCATCCAGAATTTCACTAGATACAACAGAACTATGAATTGTCACAAGCCAGAGAATATTTCAAAAATTATGTAGAGTAGAAATCCAAAAGTTCATTTTTAGGGTTAACATTAATTAATTGATTGAGAAAGATTTACATTTGTAATTGCATAAACAAGATTTCCAAAATTGAAAAAGGAAAATAAATTTGATAGTAATAGCTGGAAAGGAAAAACAATATCACCAGTTCAAAATGTACATATTGTGTCAGAAAGGATGGTAGCATTATTTGACATCCACAGAAAAATAAACAAATAAACAATCAGTAAGATGGCTACACGAACAACAGCGTGGACTTCATCAGTGCATTCATCATTGACACAGGCCTGAACCTAATTAAAAATCAGCAAATGCAACAAGATGCAATGAGGCCATGTCACAAAATTTAACAGCGGAAGATCACTCAAGATATAGTGTCACCATCATGCCAGATTTCAGTTGCCCTCAACTAGAAGTTGCCACTAAAAAGTAGTTTTGATTTGAAATAATAACATACCTCTTTTCCTGATCGATAAGAAGTAATTTCAAACTTAAGTAGAGTATATAGCTGAAGATCAATAGAAATCACAGCTACATTCTTTCCAATTCTTTTTCCAGAAGTCGTTTCAACAACCGTTTGGCAACATAAGGGATCCATATTTGCAAACTCACTACTTTTTTGCCAGTTCAAAAAAAATCTAGGTTCTCAAAAAGCGAAGTCTCAACTATGAGAAAACCACATATATAATTGGGTTTAATGGTAAATGGCTAGCAACTTCACTAAATATGTAGAACCCATCGAGTTAACGCTTGCAACAGTTTGTTTCACGCTAAAGACTTGCATTCAAATGGATTTTGTCCAAAGTCATTCCCTGGATAGAAGACGGCCTGCAAGGGATCATCAGCGTCATCATCGTCAAGCCTTGTCCCGATTATTTGGGGTCGGCAATATGGGATAATATTTAGAAATCTTAAATTCAAAATATTCAATTTCTGGCATAAATGCAGCAATTACTGAGAGCCATGTACCATGATTTTGAATGAGAAAGTAAAAAGAATCATTCCAATGTTAAAACGTCACTCATGTTGAGCTCCGACATTTTTTTTATATATAATTAACAATAGAGAGAAAGAAGGTTATACCAAGCTTCACGTGGAAATAAAAGGGACAAAATTCTAGGATAGTAAGAGAACAGATAGAAAAGGAAGAAAGGGGATAAATTAAATAGAAGAGAAAAAGGTCCTAGTGTAACAATAATATCTCAGATCAAGAATGAGTTCTCCATTGCTCCTCAAGCATGAGCAGGCCCTAACGCCCTAACCATTAGCTTCTCCAAGCATATGGGGATAGGATATACAAACCAAGTACTTTTCTCACAAACCACTTCCATGACATTGCCTATTACAAGGGTGCTATAATGTCTTTGTGTACCAACATAGGACATTAAGCTAATCACCTGCAATCAATAAAAGGCAAAAATAAAAACAGAGGAAAACACTACGGTCTAACCACCATGTCAATAAATTATGATGATCCAAACTATCCCAAGAACTAGCATCAGTATTGAGTTTAACAAAGGTCCACCAGTTGGTTGGCCCATGAGGTCCTTGCCTTGTACATAAGGTTGATTATTCAGGAACCAGGTTCCATTCTTTTCATTGGTACAAGGGTGGGTAAAGATTAGAGGGAATGAGACAGGTACAATAGTAAAATACAAAAATGACTCCCAACGAATACAGCACTTCAACAACTTAACCAATAATGAGTATAATTTTGTTGGAGGAATATTTCCTGGCAACATAACAACATAACTTTAGTAAGCAATGCATGAGGATCTCGAAGTTGCACATAAAGTAATGAGTAGTATACCAGACCCTAACAAGCAAATGAATGCAAGATTCGTGTATACCAGAACACTGGATTGATAAGGACACCTCGTTACGTAGTACAAGGCTCAATGTTCTCATAGAAACAAGCACGCAGCATCATGGGCAAGAACAGAAGATAGTCACTATTCAAACTCAAGTTTCTACACTAATTTTAGTACACTGAAAGCACCAAACGATTGGCAGCACTTGCACTATCAAGCTTCTGGCTAAAGACACCCATAAGTTCAGAAAATTTCATACCCAAAGTCAGCTCATATGGGGGACTAAACCACCATTTAATTACGCAAACTAAATTCATTGGATACAAGGCTTCCAAGATTTATGTTACTCCACCAATCAAAGGAATGCATCTAAGGTCCGAATTGGCAAAAGCTGCAAGACCCATTACCTCTTTTTCGATAGTCAGAACCTTCAATAATAAAGATGCATGTGCCAGCTCAAGCAAAAGCTAACAAGTCCCCCCAAAAATGCGGCCTACTAATTATGGCAGTCCTCACCGACCTTAAGGGGCCCAATACAAAATAGCAGCCAACAAAAAGCCTAACCAGCCATATTCTCAATCCATGCGTTTGCTGAAGTACAAAAACACATAGCAAAAACAAGGAAGCACCTTTTTTATCTATTCATGTTAGCCTGTGGCATGGAAGCAGGACCCGTGGTTTCTCAACTAAGCTGTTGCGTGAAATCTTTCACTTAAAGCAAGACAGAGAGATGAGGGGTGTCCATGGAAAACAAAGGATTCCATCCTTTCTGCAATAAAACAAACAATACTCTATGCAAGCCAAGACAATAACCAGAAAAAAATGATGACAGGAAAAAACCATAAAGAAGATAGTAGCTTCACCACTATTGATAACCCTTAGAATACAGATCAAAACTAGAAAACCAAACAAATAAACCAAGCTATCACAAATGAATGGAAACACAGACAACCCAACAAACTTATCCCAACAGCCTTCTCCGTGGCGTCTGTTGAATATCAAATTCTCAGTAGAATTAACATTAAAAAAGTGAAGGAATGTAAAATACTGTAAATGGATCAGACATGCAAGCATCAACTGCAAACCCTAAAGAACCAAGAAACCATTGTCATTCTATCAGTGTTAGATAGAAACCTGTCTGAGGTTGAGGAAGAGGAGGGAGACTTGGGTGAGGAGGGGGGAGAGGTCGGCCTTGGACCTTTCCTTCTTGGAGAAGAGCATCTTTGCCACCGCCTCCTCCATCGACTTCCTCGTCTCCTCCATTACCTCGTACATACTCTTCCCCTCAACCTCCCCTTCTTCCATTCCCATTCCCATTTCCATTCCCTTCTCTGTAGAGCTTCTCCCTCTAGAGCTTCTGAGGCCAAGGTCCAGGACGCAGCGACAGCGCGTTCCAGGACTGCCGTTCCAAGGTTATTACCGTACTGTCCCAAAGTACGTTTTTCTATAGGGTGCGGTTTGTATAGAGCCTGAGCTAAACAATCATAGCGCTTACCTTGAAATAGTGTCGAGAAATATGGTTTGCATATTGAAAATTTACGTGATAGCCTTAAAATATATTTTTATTTTTATTTATAAAGTTTAAATCTTTAAAAAGAGTGACCATCGATAAATCTATAAAAATTTAAAAATCTTGAAAATTGATGGTCAAAAAACGCATTACAAAATGCACTATTTTCAAAACTTGAAATCCATTTTTTTCTCATATCCATATATCTTAATGTTGAGATTCAATTTAAGAATATTTGGACATCAAAACAACCTCTTCTAGTGGAATTTTTTATGCAAGCTCAAATTTGATTGCTTAAAGCATCAGCTCTATATAAACCTTTCCTTTTTCTAAAAAAGAAAATTGTTTCATGTGGCGGGAATTCTACATTTGTGGTCGGTCCATCTAAAAACAATTGAAATTAACAATCCAAATGTAGGTCATGGTGTATAGTTCTTTTCAAATATCTAGAACCCTATATACAGCATCCCAATTCTCTTAACCTAGGTTACTAGTATAACTATCCAGTTGACCCACAACAAAAAGGTAACCATAAATTTCATACAAAACATGCCTATAAAAGCGCAAATCCAATACTTAACAAAGATGTCTTTGGATTTCGAGGCTATAATACAAATTTAAAGACAAGGACCTCAATGGACGTGAATTTACATCAAATGTCCATTTGCTAATTACTTTGGTAGAGATGGGGTAATCCTTTTATAGGACAATGTCACTCGCGCCATTTCTATAGGTCCTAAAAACAAGCCAAAATTTTGAAAACAAGTTTGGTGGCACTGAAGTCCATCCTCCAAAAAATAGGTCCCTTACTACATTAGAGTTCATAACAAAATATGTTCATCGATCACCTAGACCTAAGGTCTTTTGAAGCCTGTAGAAATTTTGTGCGTGACCGGATCAACTGTAAAATCAACAAATATATGGCAAGCAGATAGACCCCAAAGGTTTGTACATAACATACCTTCCTAGTTTATAAAAAATTGGAACATCTGTTGCCATCTTAAAAGATGTGCATCATCGACACTAATCTAGCCTTTCACTATCCTGGTTCTTATGGGTTAGCGAATTATCAATAGACATCTCAAGAAGTAACCAAGTTTATCACTTTGAAATTGTTAGTTGTATAGGGTCTCACCGCGGTTAACTATACATCACATTGGACATAAACTCCCATATACTGGGACCTAAAATCAGGGGATCAGCTTGCACAAGAAGCTCTCGCTTTCTTCGAAGTATTAAATGCCCCCATCTCTGTAAAATTATGAAGTGCAAAGGGGTCCCGATGAGTACACTCCCAGGATACAGCCCCATACAAATCTTGAGTGATTGAGTTACACGCTCATGAGATCCGTATAAAACAATAGTCACAAAAATATTGATATGTATTTCTGATCGGTATGATACTACAAACATCAATTGGAAACATATTTCTCTCTCTAAAAAAATTATCATCGAATTGGTAAATGCAAACATCAATTAAGATGATAAACTTCTCTCTCTTACTACAAAATTTATCATCCAATTGGTACACTATGATAAAAATATCGATTGGAAACATCTTCTTTGTCACTGCAAATTTGTCTTTTAATCAGTAAAATAATAGCAATTTGATATCGATTGGGAAATAGAAGCACATATATGGTCATCCCACACCTTAAAATAAATCATTAAATGTAGCAGTACCTATCACCTGAATATCGTGTGAGGCAAGTGCTACTCATGAGAGAGAGACATCAAAAACTTGTTACAAGAGATAAAGAGAGTTCTCTACTTCCTGTAATTGATAGGAAGAGCAGTATTTGTTACTTGAATGTCGTGTGAGGCTAGTGTTACTCATGCGAAAGAGAAGTTTGCCATCCTAATTGATATTTGTATTATACCGGGTTGGATGATGATTTTTGTAGAGAGATATTTGTTTCCAATTGATGTTTGTAGTATCATACTGATTAGAAATACATATCAATATTTTTGTGATTGCGGTTTTTACGGGTCTCATGAGTATGTAACTCAGGGACTCGAGATTTGTATTCCGATCTAGCTGTATTCTAGGAATGTACTCACTGGGACCCATTTGCACCTTGAAATTTTGCCGAGACGGAAGCGTTTAACACTTCAAAGAAAGCGCGAGCATATCGTGCCTCTAGATCACTTGATTTTGGATCCCAATATAGGAGTTTATGTCCACTGTGATGTATAATCAACCGCAGTGAGACCCCATACAACCAATATGAACTTGTTGAAAAAATTCTTCAATTTTTGCCTCAAAATTTATGTATTGTTAGAAATCAAAAGAAGAACTCGGCAGTTTTGAAATGACACCATTTATTCCTCACTTGGACTCACACTTAAAAAATGACCTAAACAATTCTCAAGTATAATAATCACAACATTGAGAATGGTTATTTTTAAAAAAAAAATAATAATACAATAAAATTTTCTATATTTCATGGTGTATACACCCCATTTTAAAAAATTGGCAAAGTCAATGGTTTTCTAAACCTTAGCCAACCTTAGGACCACACTATCCCAATAAACCCACGGACTATAGACCACCGTAGTCCATACTCACTTTTTGGGAATTTAATCAAGTAAAAATAGCAAAACTACATATATTTTACTTGATTTTTGGTAGGCAATGTCTCAAAAGCCTTTGAGTCACTCCGGAATTGGAATCTACCGATTTTGAGTAGATTTGGTCTGGGTGACGCATCTAATGTCCCTGACACACCAAGTGTTGCCCATCGAAAATTATCTAGAATCACGTGATTTTTGACAGGTGATATCTCAAAAGCCTTTGGATCACTTGGAATCGAACCTGCCGATTCTGAGAAGATTTGGTCTGGGCGACACTCCTAGTGCCGCCCAACCAAAACTGTCCAAAATCACTTTATTTTTGGCAGGTGATATATCAAAAGCCTTTGGATCACCCCAGAACTAGAATTTATCGATTTTGGGCAGATTTGGTTTGGGAGAGTCGCATATCTTTGACCCAGCTCATCTCCCGAATCATTTTTGTTCAGGTTCATTGAACCTGGACCATTTTGGTACGGGCGACACGGGTAGGTCGCTCAAGCCTTTGACCATCAAAATGACAGTCCAGGCTAGGAAATCTATTTGTTACAGGTTGTTACCCATTCCAATCATTTTTCACTTTTAAAAACTCATTTTTGTGACCCGTTTTAGGGGAGACTCTTTAGACTCTAAAAAAACGGTATGCCTAGAAACCTGAAACTTTGATATTTGAGAGAAGACCCTGAGAAGCCCTAGATCTATGAAGACCTTAGTTTTAGGCCATTAAACATGCAGCCCTTAGGTTAAGAAAGCCATCAAACTAAGATAAGGCCGGGTCAAAATCTGAAGAGAAGCAAAGAGCGCGCATGAAATAAATTCAGTAGGTTCTAATATGAGCGAGACCTCGAAGCCTCAGGAGCCCTGAGCCAACTGGCCCGACCTAGTATATTTTACTTTTTCCTACACTTCCTTTCATTTTTATTTATTTTCTTATAATTAATTCAATTTTATTGTATTTTATGTAGTATTTCGTATTTCAGATCAATGCTGGCTCTTACATTGATCTAAGCAGCAGATCTGCTCATTTATGAGGAGATCTGACCTTAGATCAAAATTTGATTGTCCCCACTCTCTATCATTCTTAAAAAAATCAGTTTGTGGATCAGATTTGGTCAATCTTCTTCTCGAGATCGTCTCGATTTGCATTGTAAACACCTGAGACACATCTTTCAGGCAATCCAAACAGTGAAGATGGATCTTTCAGGTTTATACCGAATGTTATCCATACAACAAACACATATCTTCCAAGAAATGTCAATTCCAAAAGATAGGAATTCTGGGGATGCATTTCCCCGGAGTCCCATTTCAAGGAACCAAACGGGTAAAGAATTAAAAAAAGAAAAGTAGCTTGTGCATCAGGGGACACACTTCTACAATAGCATCCCCTAATGCATGGAACAACCATCTTGGAGATGGATGTTACATGGTGGCAACCCCATAAAATTTTAAAATCAACGGTGTTAAAAATGTTTAAATAAATTTTTATTTTTTGCTGTTTAAATTTATTGATTTATTCCAAGTTAATACATTCCATTATTAAGATGATACAATCCTCAAATTTTTGAATCCAAAATCTATCTCTAAAAATGTTTTAGAGAGAGGACTCATTTGATTAGGTAAGTTGGTCGCCTTATAGAAACCTTGTCCATTTAAAAAGGGTGTGATTTGCATAAGGTTGTAACCTTAAATAATAAAAGTAAGGCACACCTTCAAAATTTTATCATAAGATAAATATATTTATATAGGTTTGTCTAGAGTTAACAACCCCTCAAAATACAACGCTTAAAGTTAGAAGAGGTTGTGATGGTGTATTTATTAAAAAGATCATTATTTTTTGTTTAAAAAATTATTTTAATAGGTACCTGAACCATTACGCAATGACAAATTCGAAATTTTTACAAAAGTACAATGGCATTTTGGAAATTAGTGTCTTAAAATTTTATTTATAAGGTGCCATTGTCTTTTAGTAAAATTTTCAACTTTACCCTCTATAGAGATGACAAAAGTAACCTTTGTCTTGTAGTAATATTTACAAAATTGCCATTACTTAATGAGGAAGATATCACAAAAAGTAATTTTTTTTTTAAAACAATAAATTATAAAATTAGTAAATCCACCATTCACAACTCTCTCTATCTTTAACCTTTGTAATTTGAAGGCTTGTGAAGTTTAGATTTATTAATTTTATAGTTTATTTTTTAAAAAAAGTTACTTTTTGAGATATCTTCATCAATAAATAAGTAAGGGCAAT